TCAGTCCTCTTTATTTAGGTGGTTACTTTATTTACTGGGTGAAACAAGCAAATAGGATGCTTCTGGGAAAAGAGGGAGAAATTACAATTCTAAATTTAGTTGCAAATTCTCATTTGGTTTATGACGCCCAGTTTCTGCGCAGAATTCAACTTCACAGGCATATGTGAGGCCATTTCCAAAGCCAGCTGCATGCCCCCCTCCCCAGGCAGTGACTGCCTTCTCACACTTTCTGGCAGCATCCCATTAAAATGGAATCTCACCCAGGATAGAGACTGGCTGGCCTTCCTCTCTTTGTATCCGCACGGCATAGCACAGTGCCTGGCACATGGTGAGTGATTAAGAAAGGCTCTTTCATTATTTGCGCTCATTTTTATGCTTTTTTTTTTTTTCAGCTTTCGAGTTTCCGCAAATCAATTACCAGAAGTACGGTGGGAAGCCCTACACGTATGCATATGGACTTGGGCTGAACCATTTTGTCCCCGACAGGGTAATTGGTGGTGCTCGTCTGGGGAAGCCCTTAGACGGCTCTTCTATTCAAGGAAAACCAAGTTTGCTCATGGGCGTGTTTCTCGTCTTCTCTGATTGTGCAGCTCTGTAAGCTGAATGTCAAAACTAAAGAAATGTGGCTGTGGCAAGAACCAGACTCCTATCCGTCCGAGCCCATCTTCGTGTCCCACCCGGACGCGCGGGAAGAAGATGACGGTAATGAAGACAAAAAACGTCCCTGGACGTTGTGCCCTTCCTGTGATCTTGTTTTCAGGTCGACAGCTAAGGGAGCCGGCCACTCTTCCCTTTGGGGTCAGAATAACTCTTACCATTCCAGGCACAAGGGTGGTTTTCCAACTTGGGGAAGGGTCCATTTTAGGACAGGCATTAGAGAGCAGGCTAGCAGCCAGAGGACAACCAGGACTGGAGGGACCTTGAAGCCCCATCACCAGAAGCATCTGTGGAGATTTAGCTAGAGAACAAAAGGTTTAGGGGGAGTGAGCCTGGGCTGAGGGGGCATGGCCCCCGGAAGCAAAGCTAGCCTCAGTGGGTCGGTACTGCAGAGAGCAGGAGGAGAGTGGGGGGAGCGAGGCGGTGTCCCTGGGGAAGTCACTGCCTTTCTTGGTATTTCCCATCTGTAAAATGGGGATGATAATGACAGGCCCTCCCTCTTGGCAGACCTCAAGGTGCTGCCTAGATGGTAGCCATTGGCGTGAGCGTGATGGTGACTGTTCAGTCTTGATGACCCCCAAAGATAGGGGAAATGCATTTTACTTTTGAATACCTGATTATTAGCAGGTCTTACGTGGTGGTGCCTCTTGTTATAAAAGAGTAATCTAGGTTGTACATGAGCAGCTAGGTGGTGCAGTGGAGAAAAAACTGGGTTTGGAACAGGAAGATTCATCTTCCGGAATTCAAATCTGGCCTCAGACACTCATCCCGAGTTCAAATCTTGATGTGTGACCCTGGGCAAATCACTTAACCTTGTTTGCCTCAGTTTCCTCATCTGTAAAATGAGCTGGAATAGGAAATGGCACACCACCTCAGTATCGTTGCCAAGAAACCCCAGATTAAAGACTCACAAAGAGGTGGACGTGACTGAAATGACAACTAGAACTGGCTGCACATGGGCTTCATATTCAGGCTTGGGTTTGACTAGTTGGTCACTTCCCACTTCTCCACATTTGCACAGACTGTGCCCCATGCCTGAAATACGTGACTAAGGTTTTTGGCTCTGGGGGTTCTCAAAATCACGGAGGGATGGTGATTAGTGACCACAAGGGAAGGAGCCACGCCAAAAAAGACCCCTGGGTCTCAAGCCACATACCACTTCCACCAGTGTGGGATGCTATGGAGTCCTTTGCTACCCAGACCCACGGAGCCCAGCTGGGCTCCATAGCAGTAGTCGTGAGCCCTACTGGAGAGCACCACAGGGCACAGAACAATGGGCCTGGAATCGGGAAGACATGAGTTCAAATCCAGCCTCAGTCACCTAATCTCTGCCTCAGTTTCCTCACCTGAAAAATGGACATAATCATAGCACCCACCTTCTAGGATCAAATGAGATAATGTAAAAAGCTTAGCACAGTGCTTGGCACATAGTAGGTGCTAAATAAATGTTTATTATTATTTAAACCCTACCTTAGCAACTCACTAGCTGTGTGAGCATGGGCAGGTCCTTTTACTGTCTTTTGCCTCAGTTCCTCATCTATAAAATGGGGTTAATAAAAACACATTTCACCAGCAAATTTCAAGGATCAGATGAGATAATGTAGATAAGGAACAGTAATAGCTAATGCCCTCAAATTTGCAAAGTGCTTTACAAATACTACACAACACAACCACCCTGGGAGACAGGTACTATTACCTCCATTTTACAGTTGAAGAAACTGAGGCAGACAGAGGTGAAGTGACTTGCCCAGGGTCACACAGGTAAAAAGTAGCTAGGGCTGAATTTGAACTCAGGCCTTCCTGACTTCAGGCCTGGCTGACACTTGTGATTTCATTAGTATAGGTGCCTCCTAGATAAGGAAACTCTCTCCCCCAGCACAAATCAGCACCTTCTCTGTACCTTACAATGTCAGACCATTGCCCAGAGCACTGAGAGATAATCAGGGTCACAGGAACGGTCAACCTGGGGATGGGAGGGGGAGGGGGAGTCCTTTTCCAGCACTGTGGAGGTGCCTGGCCCGGTGGCACGGTCACCAAGTGTTACAGGCAGGACTATTCCTGTTTTGGCAGTGCCCTTGCAACGTAGGCAGAGAGAGATCGTGATCTGTAAGCTTGGCCCTAACCAACTCTGCTTGCTGTTTGCCTCTGCTCGCCAGGAGTGGTTCTGAGCGTGGTGGTGAGCCCTGGGGTGGGGCAGAAGCCGGCCTACCTCCTGGTCCTCAACGCCAAGGACATGACTGAAGTCGCACGGGCCGAAGTGGAAATCAACATCCCTGTCACCTTCCATGGGCTGTTCAAAAAATCCTGACCCCGGGTCATTCTTCAGCACCTCAGGACCCCCAGCAACCTGACCTAGTCATCCCCACAGGCCAAACCCAGCGACCTAGCCTAGAGGTCCCCATGGGCCAAGCCCAGAGACCCAGCCTAGAGGTCCCCATGGGCCAAGCCCAGAGACCCAGCCTAGAGGTCCCCATGGGCTGGGCCCATCCTTCCTTCTGGTCCCATAGTCCCTCCAAGCTGAGCCAAGGGCACCTAACCTGGTCTTCACCACAAGCTCCCAGAATGGCCCAAAGCTTTCCAGACAATGCCAGGGGTCTCATACTGTGCTGGGCACTTTACTGCCCTCCAAAAGATCACCCTGGGGATCCCAGAGAAGACCCCTGTGGACAAACTATATTGGGCACACTTAGATGGCATGAGTGTGGACATCATTAAAATGATTCCAGGTACAAAGGTGTACGTTCAGCATCTGTGTTCGCTCTTCTTTTTGTCGGTCTGAGATCCATGTTCTAGGGGCCACTGGTTTGTGCGTAGTTTTGATGATGAGTCCCAGATCCCCAGTGGGGGAGTTAGTGTGACACAGTGAAGAGAGCTCAGGATTTAGTCTTGGTCCCGGATTTAAATCCTTCCTCTGCCACTGTCACAAGTGTGACTTTGGGCAAGTCACTCTGCTTTGGGCCTCCGTTTCCATATTTGTAAATATGAGGGGATTGAACGAGCTGGCATCTCGTGTCCCTACCTTCTCTGATATATGACTCTATGATGGCCAATGTTTCATGGATTCACTCTGGTTAAGAGATAGCGTGGGGGAACGGAAAGAGCTTGGGTCTGAATGATGGAATTAAGAAACATTGATTAAATGCTTTCTGTGTGTCAAATGTTCGAGATACAACCAGAAGTGTGAGACAGGCCCCTCTCCTACTCTAATGCTGGAGACACAACCATGGGAGTGTCCAGCTGTAGGGTGGAGGCAACGGTTAGAGGTCCAGGAGGTCCAGGAACAGGAAGGACGGCAAGGCCCAGCTATCCTTTAGGTGCACCTATAGGGTGGATGGTAAGGCCCAGGAGTCCAGAGGACATTGACACCAGAGGACAGTGGCAGCAAGATGGTGGGGCTATGAGTTCACTCAGCACCTCATTGAAATGGGGCCAAAACATTATTTTGTGCCTATGACCTGCCAGTAAAAAAGCCTTCCCTGGCCTGGCAGCAGGGGTACCAGCCGAGGAGGCCTCTGCACTAAAGTACCACCACCACCTCTGCCATCTTGAAGAGAAGTTAAAGGGTCTGGGTTCAAATCCTAGGCCCTACTGACCACCTGAATGACCGAGGACAAATCATTGCCCTCTCAGGGCGTTAGCTTCGTCCTTGTAAAATTGGGGGTTGGATTCAACAGTCTGTAAACTTTCCCGTTCCAAATCTAGATGTCATGATCGGATGACCTTTGTGACCTGGGGCAGACGATTTTCCCTCTTTTCCTCAGATAATGTTTGGCTACTTGGGTTCCTCATGTATCCAATGAGAGAGCTGAGCTCCATGACACTTACAGTCCCTTTCCAGCCTTCTGTCTATAGCCCTAGATATCATTTCTGTGTGTGCTTTATAGGTTGAGCCCAGAGCTCTAGGGATCACTCTCCCATCCCACTTGGATAAGCACATTGGGTCCCCAGACCACGGCTCTTACTTCTCCCCTTAAGGTTCTAGGGACAACCCAGAGGGCTTCGGGGAGTCTCTGGCATTACAGCTTATGATCCCCCACCTGGTAGCCCCCCACCATATCAATCACCAGTTAATACCTCCCCAATATAATCAATTAGCTTTTCCAAAGGAGTAGTTACTGAGAAAGTAAAGCAAAAAAACAATTACAACAAACTCCCAAACCAGGAGCAGAGCCCCTCTGCCTCCTTGATACCTGGAGCTAATGGCCTTAAACTGGAAATGTGGGATACCAATACACCCTCAAGGTCACCTCTAATTGTGATATTGCTGATAGATGAGTCACTCCATTATTGTGTTTGTTCTCTTTAAGTTTTATTTTTTTAATTAACAAAAATTTTCTCTCCTTCCAACCTCCTCATGTTTTATGAAAAGAAAGATAAAAACAAAACCTTTGTAACAAATATGTATAGTCAAGGAATCAAGTGGAACAAATTCCTGAATTGGTCATGTCAAAAATGCCTGTCTCATTCTGGACCCTTAGTCTATACCCTCTTGGTCAGGAGGGAGGCAGCATCCTTCATCACTGGTCCCCCAAATCATGGCTGGTCATTGTGGAGTCACTCCCTTCCTCGTAGGACACAGCATCTCAACTGCTGGATCCATTGGCCGCCAGCCTGGGTAGAGCAGGTCCAACCTCAGGGCTGGCTTCTCGTTGTGCTCAGAAGCTGCCATTACTGGTAGAATCTGGCATGAATTGTATTTGCTGGTCCTCTTGGGACTCTTCCAGCCTTTCGAAGATCACAAAATCATCACCTGTTCCCTTCTCTCTCTCTGTGAAAATCATTCATCTAAGATCAGGAAAGAAGAAACCCACGAAGGCAGAAACAGGCAGGACCACGTGTTCAGTGGGGAGAGAAGGGGGCCAGTGACAGACAGCAGGCTGCTACTGCTTCTGCTATGCCTCAGTGACCACCAGGAAAGAGAGAATTCATCCATTTCCTCTTCTAGCCTTTGTATACACGCTCGTTTCTGGCTTAGCAACCAATGAAAAAGCATTTCCATGACCACCCAGCAAGATGACAGGAAGCACAAGGTACCTTCAATCATGCAGGGAGAAGACCCCTCCATCACGCATTTCCAGAGGCAGGCTCACCAAGCCATATTGCACATGCTTTGAGGACCAGGACCTCATCAGCCAGTGTCCCCATCGTACAGATGATGAACCAAATGCCGGAAAAGCTGAAGGACTCACTAGGGTCACACTGCTAATAAGTGTCGGAGTCAGGAATCAAACCCAGGTCCTCAGGGGTCTAAGTCCAACCCTTTCTCCACCAAAATACTATTCCTTTCCTAGGAAACCATTCAGTATGCCTATGCTTCTTACAGAAGTGGGGAAACTGAGGCACTTGAAGGTTAAGGACTTAACATTCTTAGTACACTTCTGTTTCTGAGTTTTGCTCAATTTGTTCAGTTTCAGTAAATCAACACCAATCTAATGTCATGGTTGTAAGAAACAAAAGTCCCTTGAAGCCATTGTTTGCAAAGTATTTCATACATGTAACAGTCACTTCTAATTACATTCGGAGAATGGGCTGCTGCTGACGGGTAAGAGTCTGGCTCTCCTTCTGTTTGATGATCGCTAAGCACTTTGCAATCACCTAGGCACAGAGGAAAGGCAAGAGATCAGAACTGGAAATGAAGGAATGAATCCACAGAATTATACAGAATGACTTTCTTTTTGATTGCTGTGTTCTGTTCTTCTATGGGAGGTCTTAAGGCAATTTTGGAGAGTTGGGCCAGAGTTTCTTCTAAAACCTATTAAATACAGCACAGGGAGGTGAACAGAGCCAGGAAGACCTGAGTTCAAGTTCTGCCTCTGCCAAATTTTGGCTGCTTGACCCTGGGCAAGTCACTTCACTTCTTAGAGTTCTAGTCAACACTCTAATACAGAGTGCAGAGAAGGTGCTAACCTGAATTGATAAAGGGAGATTACTCACCAAGGAGTTCCATTGAAATCAAAGACTGAGTCTCCATTCCTAGCCATTATTACAACACTGAGCTCTAGTAATAATTAAAAATAATAATAATAATGAAGACCAAGGAGAAACAATAGTGACAACAGTAGCTATTAAATCTAGTAAAGACTAGAAATCACCCTATTCTATTCAATAGTCATGCAGTCTTAAAATGGAATACCCATAACTGCAGACATTTCAAAGAGATTGGGCTTGTATGGTTGAAATGGAATTGGGAACCATTATAAATAGTATGCTCTAGTGCATTATATTTTCCCCTTTGTCTTGGTGTGCAATCATCTCTACTTAGAACTTTGATTTTTCTCTAGGAAGGAAAGGAAGACTGTGTTAATTAACATTTATGAAGTGCCTACTATGTGCTAGGCACTGTCCTAAATACAGGGAATGCAAAGAAAGACAGTTCCTATCCTCAAAGAGATTACAATCTAATAGGAGAAGACAATACTCCAAAAGGAAGCTGAAGGTGATGGAGCAAGGAGAAGGGAAGGTATCCAACTCAGGTTCATGATGGCAAAGCCCAGAGAAGTGCAACCAGGTGGAAAATGAAGAGATGGCTGCCCTGGATGCCTTCTTTCAATGGAAGTTCTGAGAGAAGCTCTCTATTTTCCAACTGGAGGTAGGGAGGGGCTGCAGGGGCAGAGGGCACTGAGAAGGTATAAGTTCTAGGGCTGAAGTGATCTTTCAGGATGAAGAGGTTCCCGAGGCACGATAAAGATGTCCAGAGGAGCGTCTCCCGAAGTGGAATGGGCTACCTCACAGTATGATGGGCTTCCCATCACTGGAAGTCTTTGAGGAAAGCTTGGATGGCCACTTATTGGATGTGACATAGAGGCATGGGTTAGACAAGATGACCTCTGAGATCCCTGAAATCACAGCTCTGATTTTGTGAGGTCATAGGCATGTGGAATTTGAGGAAGGTGGCAAGTCTATTGCTCTTAATAAATGTTTCTTGACCAAATGACTTTTCTTCAACCAAGGACAAAATCTCAGCATGCTAGTTGTTTGTTCTTTTTATAATAATCTCCAGAAAGGGAGCTTCTTGGCTGTGCATTGCAAGATTACACAATTCATACACCCAAGAGGTTCTTAATATCTAAAGCTAATCCCTAAAGCAGCCATTTGACCTACCATGGCAAAGAGACATCACATTGTCTACCTTGGTGTAGTGGGAAAAATACTGAGCTTGGAATTGAGAAGAATGTTTGTCTGACTCAACCTACAACTGACTAAGTATGTGACCTTGGAAAGGTCACTTCTGTCTTCTAGTCTATAGTTTCCTCACCTCTGAAAATCAAGGGTGTGGGCCAAGATGAACTCTCAGGTCCCTCCCAGACCTTACAGACTCTATGGTTTTAGGAAACTTGAGTTCTCTGCCAATCTTAGCAGTGATTTCTCGTGAAATCTCTTTCCCTAATTTTTGCCATCATTTTTCTTCCCTTGGGATGCTCCTAAAAGTGCTTAGGTAGCTAGGTGGTACGGAACATAGAGGACAGAATTAGGAATACTTGAATTCAAATGCAGCCTCAGATACTTCCTAGCTGTGTAAACCTGGGCCAGTCCCTTAACCTCTGTCTGCTCCAGTTTCCTCATCTGTATAAATTGGAATAATAATGAAGGTCTCCCAGGGTTATTGGGAAGATCAAACTAGAGACTATATTTAAAGTGCTTTGCAAGCCTTAAAGCTCTACATAAATGCTGGATATTATCATTTAAACTGCCCACCATTCCTCACTTGTGCTGTGGGGTCCCCAGGGGTGTGCAGGGCTCCCTTGCTTTGTCTGAAGAATACTTGACCAAGAGGGGGTGTTCACACCAATGAAGGAAATTTCATTGATTGCTTCACACTTGGATTTTTCCTAGTCTAGTGTTATAGACACTGAGACTCCTCATGACATCTGCTAAATGTTATCGAGTAAAGAGAGGATTTTGCTTGAGAAGTACTTCATGAGGACCAGCAAGCACTCGGACAGTTGGGGAAATTGCTGGCTCGGTAGCAAACACATAAATCCTGTCGAAGTGACACTGTGATACAGCGGATGAGCTTCAGACTTGGAGTCAGGAAGATGAGGGTAAAAATCCTGCCTCAGACACTGAGACACTTGCTTGATCCCAAGCAAGTCACTAAAATGTCATTGGTTCTCAGGTCCCTAGGACTCTTCTCCTAGTCATTCCCAACCTTGGTTGGTCTTAGGACACCTTCATACTATGAAAAATTATTGAGGAATCTCCTACCCCCAAAAAACTTTTGTTTAAATGGGTTGTCTCAATTGATATTTATTATGTGAGAATTAAAATATCATAGTATTATTATGAAAATAGTTTTGACCCTGAGGTCTCCCTGAAACAGTTTCAGGGACCCCCTCCCCCACAGATATCCTTGGACCAGACTTTGAGAACTACTGTACAAAGTCACAAACAAGTTGCAATCTGTATTGGGAAAGAGAAATCTCACACTGCAAATTCTCCCATGCTGATGAAAAATCAAAGATTCTTGTGTATTTTGTCTATGAAATGGGATGTTGGGCAGTATCTCCTGCTCATCTTCAAGTGAAGAAAGACCAAAAACTCAAAGAATTTATTTAGAAGAAGAGATTTATAGATTGGACAAGAAGAAGAAAGGGAAGGGAAAGGAAGGATAAGTATTTATGCAGCAGGCACTTTGCAAATACTATCTCATCTGATTCTCATGACAACTCTACTATGTAGGTGCTATTATTTTCCCCATTTTACAGTTGAAGAAACTGAGGCTAATGGAGGTTAAGTGACTTGCCCAGGGTCACACAGCTAGTAAGTGTCTGAGGCTGGATCTGAACTCTGTTCTTCCTGAGTCCAGGGCCAACGCTCTATACATTGTGCCATCAGCTGCCCCCACAATAACAACAATAGCTAAAAAAAACTATAATAACTAGGATGTTTAGACTGTGAAACACTTGAGTGATGTCAAAGCTACATGAGTCTGGAAAAACTTTTAAAATGAGTTAGGGATCACACCTGTCATTCTGCTGGACCAGGGAACTCCCCAATGAGGAAATGTTAGTGGGCACCTTCTCTTCAACTTAGAATTTTCAGTTTCCTAGAGCAGTGAGTGGGTAAGTGGCTTGCCTATAGTCACAAAGCCACAAAGCAGGCAGCATTTGAATCCAAATCTCTGAAACAGACTCTCTCTCCATTACTCTATGTACAGGACCACTGGACCTGCTGACTATGGTTATATCTACCCATAAACCAGCTTGGGAGGAAAAGTCACCAATGAGGTTGTTCTTTAAATAATCAATTGTTTGGCAGAATTAAACCAATTCACATGCTTTTGACCTCCCAACTATTTCTTTTAAGTCAAAGTAAAGTAAAAAAAAAAACTTGGAACATGTCATCTTCTGATCTCCCCAAATAAGTAAGCATTAGGGACTCACTGGGCATGTTAGTCAACCTGCTAGGATCCCCTGTCCTTAAAGTTGGCATCTGAAACCCATACCCAAACTGACATAGCACCAAAGGAAGCCCACCTCTCTGGAATTCTGGGGCAGTATCACTCCATCATCCCACAGTCTGGCTGAGGAATAAAATGCTGTGCTTTCATTCTCCAGTCTGATAAAGAGAGCATGAAGGTTAGTGGTTACAAACAGTTCATTCAATTCGACCAACATTTATCAAATACCAAGTATGTACCAGGCACGGTACTAGGGCTGGGAATAAAAAAAAATAGAGGAGATTCTGCCCTCCATGAGACTGCATTCTACTGACATGCAAGAAATAAAATACAGCTGCAGCTGAAACTGAAAATTACAACAGATATAGTAAGAAGTAGAGCGGTGAGTATTGAGGAAAGAACCCTTAGGCATCATGTTAGAGAGGATTTGAATTTGAATCCTGCCTCTGATGATGTAGAACTGGGACTCAGGATGGAAAGTAGAGCTGAATATATACAGGTCTAAAAGACAGACAGACAGATAAATAGAGGGATGGGTGAATGGATGGATGGATATAGACAGACACAGGTAGGTAGATAGATGAATGGATGGATAGATAGACAGACATAGATAGACATAGACAAACAGACATAGATAGATAGATAGATAGATAGATAGATAGATAGATAGATAGATAGAAGATAGATGGAGGGCTAGATAGGCAGACACAGATAGACATAGAGCATTTATCAAATGCAAATTGTGTTCAGCACTGTAAAGATGAGCTGGGTCATCTGTAAGGAGATAATAATTAAACCCATGGGAGCTGATGAGGTCACCAAGTTAGAGAAGTGTTGACAGAAATGAGGACTCAGGACTAGATGTTGGGGTACACCCATGGTTAGGGGCACAGGCTATGGATGATAATCCAACAAAGATAGAAGGAGTGGTTGGGTAGGTAGAAGGACAACCAAGAGAAATGAGTCTCATCACTACCCAAAGAGAAGAGAATGTCCAGGAGGAGAAGGTGGTAAACAGGGAGGTCAAGAAGGTTGAGGATGTCACTGATGTAACATCTTGACTCTGTCCTTCTGCCTCTATGTCTGCTGTTCTATTTTCTAACCCATTTTGTGTCTGAATGTTGAAGCCTTTTCTTGCCTCCCAGTGTGTTGTGAGGCTCAAATATGTGAAAGCATTTTGCAAACTGTAAGGTGATGACCAAATCTAAGTCATTATTCTTTGTTAAATGTTAAGTTAATGCTAACTAAGAAGAAGCTGACCCATTTTGTGGATCAGCATATCTTAATTTAAAAGAATTCAGCTTCACAACAGGCAAAATTATTTAAAAGCCTACTCTCAGAAAAAGAGCTCATAGGACATAGAAATGGAGAAATCCTGTCAATCATCTGTCCTTAAGTGCCGTCATTTTATTTTTTTTTACTATGAACTTAACAATAACCAATAAAATGAGCACTTTTATATTTATTTTAGGATTATATAGGAAATTATGAACCGCTATTATATACTCCTTGCTTTTATTTTTTAAGTGTATAATAAATTCAAAATGTTAACTTTCAAAGTTGTCCTTCTGGTCTTTAATTCTTCCCAACTTTCCTTCCATTATGTTCTTTTTTTGGTGGCGAAGGGGGTAAAGAAGGTGAGAATCTTATTCCTAACCCTCCTATTTTTACCACCTCCCAAATGGGAAAAAGGCAAATAAAACCCTTGTAACAAACAGGCATTTTCAAGCAAAAGGAATTCCCACATTGACCATGTTTGAAAATTTATGTCTCATTCTGCATCTTGGATCTATTACGTACTACTCTGTTAGGAGGTGAGTAGCACACTTCATCATGAGCCCTCTGGAATCCTGCTTGGTAGTTTAACTTATCAGAGTTACTATCTTTCCTAATGGTTTTTCTTTATTATATTGTTTTATATTGTCCTTCACTTTGTATCAGTTCACACAAGTCTTCCCAGGTTTCTCTTAATACAGCCCTTTATCACAGTGCAATAATGTTCTATTACATTCATATGCCGTAATTTGTTCGGCCATTCTCCAGCTGAAGAACATCCCCCTTTGTTCCCATTTCTTTGCCACAATAATAACAGCTGCTATACTTTTATACAAATGAGTCATTTTCTTCCTTTTTGGTAACTCCTTCATTTTATGGATAAGAAAAATGAAGCCTATATTGGTGAAGTGACCTCCCAAGGGCGCAGAGCTTTGTAAAAAGAACCAGGATTCAAACTGGTTGTCTAGCCATAAAATATTCAAGTCTTCTGAACCTGAATCTAGTGTCCAATTCCACAAGTGTTTTTTGGTTTGTTTTTTTTTAATTCCTGTTCCGTGTTACCAACAGCGCTGGGTATACAAAGTCAAACAATGAAAGTATTCCCTGCTCCACAGCAATGTGTCGATGGTTTTTAATCAAAGAACATTAGGAAAGAAGCTGTGACGAAAGTCGAGGGATGAAGAGACCTGAATTCTCTCTCCTACGTCTGATTATTTACATTTCTTGCTCTAATGGGCCTTGTTCAATTATCAGTAAAAAGTCAGCACAGTAGGGACCTCAAAACTTACTTTTTCTCCAGATTCTTTAATGTGGATTTGTCCATACAGAAGTTCTCATCTTCTTCCAGAAAGTCAGCAAATGGAGATCTACAATCGACGAGAGCAACTCTTGCATTGGGCCACAAGAACAAGAAATTAGGGTCGAATGATCTTCCGCACTAAAAATGAGCGATCCATTTGAGCAAGAGAAAAAAAAACAAAACAAAACAAGAATAATCTGCCATTAGGGTATGTTGTGCCAATAATGACAGGACTATAGATCTAGAGATGGAAGGAACCTTAAAGGCCACCAAGCCAAGTTCTCTTGTGTTGTAAATAAGGAAACTGAGGCATGGAGAGCTCACAGTAAGTGTCTAAGGTAAGATTCTATCTCAAGTTTCCTTGACCCAAAACCCATCACTCTCCACTGCATCACCTAGATGCCATAAGTCATTTACTTACTTGAAAGAAGACATACTTAAACTCAGATTTTATGTATATAGTAGAAGAGGCAATGTGGTGTAGTACAAAGAGTATTGGACTTGGAGTCAAAAAGACTTGTGTCTGCTTCTTACTAGCTTTGTGACAAGTCACTTCACTTACTGAACCTCAGTTCCCATCAAGTTTGTGCCCAATTTCCCCACAGACTCTGTGTAGATTTGTGGGAGAGGGTGCCCCACATTTGGATGGGGGTGGGAGAGAATGCATTTGAACCAACAACTGTTCTTTCAACACTTTTTTAGTAAATACCTTTGCTAAAATCTCCTGGCTACTTGTTCATTGGAAGCACACTGATAGAGACCCATGACAATACAAAACAATACAATACAATACAATACAATATATAATGATAATGATATGATACAACATGACACATGACATAATATAATATAATATAACATAACTCAGCATAGAATAACATAATAGTAATTATAATTATTAATTATATTATTTTATTATCAATTATTAATAGTAATTAATGGTATTATCCCTAGAACTCTGAGACTCATAACATGTAAATGACCTCTAGTAACCGGTCCAAACACAGAGAGTGCGAGTTAAGGCAGTAGCCTCAGAAGGGGGACTAAATTTGTTTTTGGGAAAGCTTAGAAGTATGTGAATAGGATATCTTATTTAGCCCAATCATCAATATTTCTGTACCATGGCATAGCTGTCATTTCCAAAACAGCCACCAATGACCAGAGTTATCTTGGGAACTTCTGCACAAGCAATGGTGGCCATCATACAGGCCTGGGCCTTGAATCTTCTGCCTAGATCTTCTGCCTGAAATGAAAGTGGAAAGAAGACGCTTCACATGGACTGTTGTAAGAAGTCATTTTTTATCCCTAAAAAGCAAGAATGTGATTAGTGTAATGGGGAAAGCATTGGAGTTTGAGGCAAGGTGGACCTGGCTTGATCGTGGACCTTAACTTCTCTTGGTCTCAGTTTCCTCCTTTGTAAAAGGATGAGCTGGATTAAATCCCCTAAGGTCCCTTCCAGCTCTTAGTATCAAAGATTCTATTTTCTTGTTTTCCTCCTCCCCAACTGAGGGTACATAGGAGAGGTTACATTTCAGTGGAAAATTTATAGAGCCATTTGGCCAACATTTATTGTCTACTACATTCAAGGCACTGACAAAAGCAATAGGCCTTGATTTTCTTCCCTGCTCTTCCAAGAACCAGCTGTAAGACATTCTGCGAGCCACCTACCCACCAATCTTCTCTGATGCTCAGTTATCTAACCTGGGAACATTCTGGGAAATAGTCAATGATTCTATGGTATTTGCCTGAGACAGAATTTGAATTCAAATCTTCCTGACTCAAGGTCAAGTGACTTCACTGCCTAGATACATGAAGTTACTAACCTGCTCAAACTCCTTTACCCAAGGATGACATTACTTGATTTAAAAATCCAAAATGTCAAACAACAAGGAAAAGATTCATACGTGTGAAACTATTTGCAGCAGCTCCTGTAATGGTGGCAAAGAACTGAATGCTGAGGAAGCATCCATCCATCCATTGAGGAAGGACTGAACAAATTAAGAAATGATGAAGGGGATGGTTTCAGAGAAACCTGAGAAGACTTGTACGAACTGATGGAGAGGAAAGGAAACAGACCCAGGAGAACAGTCTGTTTTATAAAAAAAAACAACACTAAGAAGACAAACTTTGAAAGACTTAAGCGCTCTGATCAATGCAATGACTAACCGTGAATCGTGAGGACTAGTGATGAAGAATTCTGCCCACCTCCCGATGGGGAGAGGATAGACTTGGGATGCTGGAGACAAACATGCTTGGAGAGGACCAATGAGGGAATCTTTGTTGTAATGGTTTCATTTTTGTTTTCTTTTTTCCTTCCTCTATGGGCATGAGAAAGCCGGGGGGGGCAGGCAATAAATGTATTAATTTTATTTTTTTAAATAGTGAGTGGGAGACCCAAGAGCAAAACCCAAGTCTTCTGATTCTGAAGTCCAATGATCCTTTGAATAAAAAATAGAATGTCAAGAGCAGTTAGTTTTGAGTCAAAGGACTTTGCCCTGAATCCCGGCTCTGTTATTCACTAACTATGAGACCTTGGGCAAATCACGAAGTGTCAGACATGGTTGAAAAACAACTAAACAACAACAAAAAGAGGGGGTTGGTCTACATACCCTCTAAGGCTCCTTCCGGCTCTGAGCCCTATGATTCTATAATCCATTAGTTCCAAAGAAAGGAAAATGGATCTTTTGGGAGGATGGCAGAGAGGAACGGGATTTAAAGCAGAGAGAGCAGAAAATATTACTGATGAGGAGGAGCTCAAGTGAGGACAAAATAATGTGAGATGAACTCTACTTAGAAAATGAAGAGGCTTATCTGTGATGGCACATCTTTCTGGGAACTTTCTGTCTGCTCTCAAAAGAGGCTATTAAGTTAAAACTTCGTGCAGTGACTGGAATGAAAATAACTAGATGGAAAAACTATTGAATTATAATGTAAAAGGAAAAAAAAAATCCATCCATAGAGGAATGTGGATGGTCATGACGGGACAGTACAAAGAACATTTTGCTCTAGAGTCACAGGAACTGAAGTCAAACTCAAGCTTAGCCACTTGTAGATGGTATGACCTTGGACAAGTCATTTAACTTCTCTCTGCCTCAGTTTCCTTATCTGTTAAAATAGGGATAATAATACCACCTGTCTCCTCAGATTGTTGTGAGAATCAATTGATATAATATTTGTAAAGATCTTTGCAAAACTTAAAGCCCTCTAGAAATACAAACCATTATTCTTATTGTCTAAGGCCATGCATGTAGTAAGTGTCACAAGTCATTGTTGCTATTATTATCCTCTCTGGGTCTCAGTTTCCTCTTCTGTAAAATGAGGGAGTTAGACCACGTGGACTGTAAATGTGTGATCTTCTGCCTCTTTCGTGAGAAATAGAGAGACTACTCAAGAGGCCTAGAATGATGTTCCATTTTTCCAAGTAAAAGTTGAGTAGCCTTGTGCAATTAACTTTGCCTTTCCAGCCTTGGATTCCTCAATTATAAAAGGGATCCAAGAATTATTTGCACATCTCTCGAGCTGATTCTTAGAGGTCAGTGAGACAACAGGTGTACACATGTTGCCATGAAGCCTTCTCCCAAGGTAAACTCTCAGTCATGGCTGCCCCACTCCTCCCCATTTGAAGATCTTGCGGGTTTTTCCACTTCCAGGAACCAAGATGGCGGAGTAAGAAGTAAGTTGCTCTTACTCTTCCTTATTAAACCTCTGAAAGCCCAAAAAACATCAACCCAAGAAAAGCCCTGGAACAGCTGAACCAGAGGAAAGACGGGGTGCAGCAGTCCAGTAGCCCAGGTAGCTTGAGGGATTAACAGGAAAGCACCCTCTTGCCCTGGGGAAAGGGGAGTAGTACAGAACAGGAGGCATCCCACCAAGCTAACGGAAAGCCCCACCTCAGCATAGCAGGAGGAAATCCTGAAACCCAGGTACTGGAGCAGGCAAACACCAACACCTGGACCCCCAAGTGGCTCAGTGAGGGGCGGGGAACTGGTGGAAACCAGCTCAGAAAACCACCAGGTGCCTCGGTATTTTACAGCAACCGGGTCTCCCAGTGCCTCAGCAAAATTAAGAGAAGCAGCACTCCCAGGGGCCCCAGGAGGATAAACATCCAGCAACATCCATCTGAAAGAGCTGAAGAAAGCGAAAGGAAGGAAAGGCCCCTGTGAGCAGGAAATGTCCAGGAGCCACGCTACCCAATCCTACCCCCAGAGTTCCAGTGTTGCTGATTCCAGCCCAACACCAGGGAAGCTGCCAGAACCCTACAGCCTGCAACTGCCAACATTGGAGGCCCCACCACACAAAGCCAGTGACCAGGCCCTGGGCTCCCAACACAAGAAGCTTGGGGCAGTGCCCTC